CCCCAAAACCCCAAAACCCCTTTAGCTAAATTTAATTGTTATGAAATTAATATAAATTTCTTATTTGAACTGAATCAAAATATAATTCAAAAGTAGTATTGAAAACTCAATAGTTCTCTTACTTTAATTGACTCAAAGATATTATTATGTTGTTTATTGACTATATATCTGCTATTGATTATGTTACTATTGCTGTTTTGAGTAAATAATACTCTATTTACCTCTGTGATAAACCGAGTCTAGTCTTCCTCTTGATTTCTGCAAAGCGAGCTGAGCCTCAACACTTAGATTAGTTCTTTTCCTGCTATGAAGTTATGCCTAAATTCTCATATAATTATTTGCTACATCTGCCATTTATTTTTATTTCATAATGCTTACACCCTCTCTTGTTTTCTTGGGTACCACACTATTAACTACACATAAGCCACCTGCTTTCTTATAGTAAACTAATTCTTCATGATTAGTACTTGACTTTCTTGAGAATGCTCCACTTTCTGGCTGGCTCTATTGATCATTAAGTTTTGGCATAAATTTGGAGTTTTCAGTTTTGTATTTGATAATGCCAGCTTATTGATAATCACTTGAGTTACTATGATTTTCTATGTCTTAAAGTTTTTATTTGATTTTAAGTGTATTCGAAGACTGAAATCTGGAGTTGCTGTCTGTTTCTATATTTAGCAGTTTCTTTATCTTATTTCTCTACTTTAATCTTTTCTGTTCATCATCAATTTCATATTAATTGCGCTAAACCTCATACTACTGATAATCCTCGAAGGATGTTTCACTTGAATCCTCCTTTTACTGCTCAATAAAATCTGAGATTATTTAACCCTCTAAAGATTTGAATTTACCCTTTGAGAGTTATAAGAAATTTTAAAGATGAGTTGTACTATTCCTTTTTTTAGGCTCTGGATTAAAATTAAAAGAGACCTTTGCTAGTTATTTAGATTTGATTTATTACGTTCTTAGAGGTTATTTATCATCAAGAAGCACATCCAAATTAAAGAGCTTCTATTCTTGGATTACTTTACTATCATCTTGTTTGCTCTCTTCTTCCGAATCAGAGGGTAAATCAATCATATAGCTATTCATCGGCTACTTTATCTGAAATTTTTTCTTATCAGGAATTTTGGCATTAAAAGATTTTCTTCTCTTGCTAAAAGAATTTCTGGAAGAATTTTCCCTAGATTTCTGCAGACTTATCCTGGGTGATTCATAATTGTTTTTGCTATTAGTCTTGGACAGTTTTTTCTGCTTGATTTCATTTATCTCATACTTTGAAAAATCAAAATGGCTATTCTTTATTAAATCTTAGCCAAGAAAATTCTAAGCATCTTTAAAGACGTTATAAAGATCCTTTTCATCTTCTTTGAGCATTTTGAACCTATTTGGTGTGAAACTTTTATGCTTTGATGTGAATGGTCTTACTCTCACGTCTTGCTAAATTGTTTGTGAATTCATTAATTTATAGGAATTTTAGACATTCATTGATTATCTCATTAGTGGGGATTAATAGCTAGAACTAGTTATTGTGACAGGAGAAAAGCTTTCCTCCCTTTTCATCTGAATTTTCCATTTTTCAATCTAGTCCTCCTTTTTCTTTTTATCTATTAGAGTTTACACTACTTTTATTCTCATATTTTTGCCATAAAGTTCGGCAACGCACATTGACCCTCTACCTACCATTCCTTTTGGTTGCAATATATAGTCACAGTCCAGAGTTTAAGAGTAGATCACCTCGTGCCCATTCTTTATTGGTTCATTAACAACAAATGCTTCAATGGCTATTTTCTGTTTCTAATCTTTAGATCTATGATCTGGCAAATCTCTTGTCTTCAAACTTGCATCATGGATTGTAATTGGTTTTGAAGATAACCAGGTAATTGGAGGCTTGTCTACTTTCATCTTTTTGGCATCTCAGTGAACTAGGAATTGACTATACTAAAGGTTCTGCCAATCTTTGAGGAATTTGGCAGACTTGCTCATGGTAAGCTTGGTGAGTATCTCTTCTTTGCGATACTCTCTCTCCAATTATTTAAGTAATTTTTATTCTGAGTTCATATGCTAATCAGATTATAATATTTCCAGATATATTTCCTGCTTAATCTAATTATACTTTTTCTAAATTAGTACCAATTAGACTCAGAGGGGTTTTGGGGTTTTGGGGTTTTGGGGTTTTGGGG